TAGTGACCTAACACATACGAGTCTTCAGAAAAAAAAGAGCAGAATTTATTTTATTTCGTGGGATTTATTTTTTTACGGTAATTATACACTAGAATATGTAATCTCTACAATTCCAGAATATGTACTTCCAAAAATTCAATGTGTAAAATACACTGCAACAATATGTACACCGCCACAAAATATACACAATGTCAATAACTCACTATCTGAAATACACTTCTAGAATATATACACTGCCACGATATATCTACACTAGCATAATATATACACTGCAAAAAATGCACTGTCGTAATACACTTCCACATTTCACAAGGAATTTAATAAGAATTAAAAGAATGCAACTTATACCCTATTCACTTTTTGTAAGTCAATGGTGCAAGTAGACAAAGTATTATATATTAATAAAAAAAATCAAGTTATAGTATTAGGAGTACAACTATTAAAAGAGTGAAAAAACAAAGAATGTGTCTGAACAACGTCAAAAATAGATGAAGGAAAGTGTTGAGAATTGTATATTATACGGAATATGAAAGAATACAGTGTCAATTTGGTATTGGGTTTTTGCATGTTTTTACGTTATGCCCCAAATTCAAACACCGTGTGCATCTTTGCTTTCTACGCCTATGGCCTATTTGAAATTCACCGACTGATGGAAGTCTCCTCTTCTTTGGTCTACCCAGGGGACGCTTATTACAAGATGGAGGCTTGCAAATCAGTGAAGCAACATCCGGCGGAACACTCTAGGAGGATTTATCTCCTATTGGGTGCACAATGCCATTGTAAGTAGCAACTAATGATTCCCATCTGTAGTATGGTGAGATGAAATCATAAAATGACAAACCAGGGCGAGACGCAATAGCTGCAACGGCATGAACACATACGAAATGGTCCAACTAAAACTCACCACAAGTGCACGTTCTGTCCCTAAGGTTAACAATAAATGTCCGAGTCCACCTATCAACGATCTCAAACTCATATGAGCATGATGGCTTAACCTGTATAAGGGAGAAATTAATTTTGCATAAATAATTATTTATGAATATAATATTATGAAATAATTCCATTATAAATATTTATTTTACAATAATAGAAATGAGAAAGCTACCTTCATCTTGAAGGCATCCCGTTGTAGAGATATTAACTCAGATTCCAGATTCTGAGTCAGAATTGTGGTCATAGATAAAGCTCTCTCACGGCGTTCATGAAACCATTTTTGCATCCTTTCTCTAATGAAATCAACTAACTTCGAAACAGGGTATTTGCGTGCAGAGTTGCTAACATTATTCATTGATTCTGCAGCATTAGATGTCATTATCGAGTATCGATATGGCCTGCTCTTGCAACGTGACCATTTAGATTCGCCGATGTCCCAGAGGTAAGAGCGGATTCTTGAATCTTGTTCGTCAAGCATTTGCAGATACTCCTCACGCTCAACCTCATTTGCTGCACGGTAGGCTTTCCTAAACTTCCACACTAGATCTTCTTTCGCTCCCTTAAACTTGCCCCGTATGTTTCGGGCAATGTGCTCAGTACAGTAACCATGTTCTACATTTGGGAAAACCTTGTCTACAGCATAAAGAATTCCATCATGACGATCTGATACGATATACATATCATGCCTGAAAGTTAAGGTATCCTTTAGTTTTGTGAGGAACCACATCCACGATTCCTTATCCTCAGCATCACAAATGCCAAATGCTATGGGAACAAGTTGTTTGTTGGCATCCTGGCAGCATGCAGTTAATAAAGTCCCCTTGTAGTAAGATTTCATGAACGTTCCATCAATAATGAGAACGGGGATACAATGATCCCAGGCTTGTCTCCACGCCGCGAAGGAAAAGAACAAGTATTTAAACTTTTGATCATTAGACCTAACCAAGTGTATTGCAGAACGTGGATTTTTCTGCTCCAACATATAGCACATTGATGGTAATAATTGGTAGGAATCTTCATCTGAGCCATACAACTTGGTCAATGCCTTCTGTTTGACTAATAAAGCTTTCCTATATGACATTGAAATGCCATATTCCCGTCTCTTGTCCTCACGCAAGTCATTAGGAGGGTATGGTTTCTTGGTAGCGTCCACATAACGATGAAGGACAATATCAGCTACAAATGATGACGTTGCCTGTCTGTGATCGCCTTCTCGAAAATCAACAGGGCAAGTATGAATTGAGTCAAATCTATAAAACAGAAAATGAAGGCAACCGGAATGATTAAAAAGGGTTAGGTGCTTGTCCCAAAAGTGATGATAGTACAAAGTTTAGCTTAATCTATTAATTAAAATTCTAAATACCATATAAGAGAACAAAAAATGTGTTTCTTATTTTACATCTTCTGGTAATAAGCAATAGGATAACTAGTTAATACAAGTGGTAAGAACAGATTTCTAAGCAATGGTTTCTAAGCATCATCAAGAAGCTTAGTGATACCAAAAGTTCACAAAACCATTGCTTAGAAACCAATGTATCTGCTGATCACACTGCATTGCCTAATTCAAACCAAAGTTTCTGGTACACTGCCACAGCTTGTGTAATTCAAATACACTGCCAAATTTGGGCAGTGTGTATAGCAGTCAACAAGAAGGCTGTGATGATACTACAAAGTTTGGCTTAATGTATTAATTAAAACTGTAAATACCATATAAGAGAAAAGTAAACGTGTTTCTTATTTCACATCTTCACTTTAAAAATCAATACGATAAGTACTTAATACAAGTGGTAAGAACAATTTTCTAAGCAATGGTTTGTAACCATCAACAAGAAGCGTACTGTTACCAAAAGTTCAGAAAACCATTTCTTAGAAACCAAAGTATATGCTGATCACAATGCACTGCCTAATTTTAAGCATAATGTTTGGTACACTGCGAGAACTTGGGTTTCAAATACACTGCTAAATTTGGGCAGTGTGAGCAGCAAACCGTTTTTTGTGTGTACCGTTTTTTTTGTTTTGGAAAAAAATATTGTAACGAACTTTTAATTATATAAAAGCGTACTTGCGTATCTGAAAAAGGGGTGAATTATCTATTCGAACAACGCGAAGGGTCCATGAGCAACGATCATCAACACAAACAACGTGTAAGCATGACTTGTTCGACCTCTTTGTCCTATACTAGAAGCTATTAGACACATCATATATTTGTAGATGTTTGCATAAATCATCCTTTGACTGGTAGATACCGTCAACCCTAATGGTGGTGGGATGATAATGTGAAATGATATCCATAGAAGATGATGAGCCACCTGGAGCTATAGGGTCTGTTGCATTTTGAGTGTGAACATGACTTCGTGGAGTGCATGAACTCCCATTACCCAGAATTCCACTACCACTCCTCTGCGGTGTGGAGTATGTATTGCTTTGCAAATTAGCATTGCAAATAGAGTTAACATATGCCTCGTTGTGAAAGTTGTGATCATTGTGGGTAGTGGCGTCATTACTTTGTGGGTGGACTGTGGAATCCAAAACAAACTCAACACATAGTGGCAGGTGTGAGGTGTCATTTTGGAACAACTTCAACTTCAAATAGAATAGTAATTCGGAATCATCGGAAACAACATTAGCTGGGGGAGGACACAACAATATAAGAAAGACGGACAGTATTCTAAGACCAATCAATACGTATGACAGATTTGAGTAAATCTAAGAAGGATTGGAATGAAGCTTTTTCTGGGACCTCAATCACTATGTTATACTTTGAAGTAAAGCTTCCATGAGTATCCCATGTCCCGTCAACATGTAGCAATATCATCAAATTTGAACCCATCTGTGATGCTCCTATTGAATAATAAAATAAATAACATTCTATTAAATTAAGTAAAGGAATGAACTCAAACAATAGACGTATAACCTAATATACACATTTTGTCAAACACGTGAAGAAGTTCAAAATCATGTCTCCTAACCAATTATACTATGCACCTATACTTCAGAATGCAAACTTTAGTTTATTAAATGCATACATCGCACAACACACTTCGAACTACACTATGTTAATCTTCAATGCCACTATGCATATGTATTTATTACTAGCACTCTAACACACTTCGAACATATGCCACTATGTTAAACATTCTCTACGAAGAAAAATAGGAAATAAATAAAACAAAAAATGCAGGGCAACATTTAAGCATTTAATCTTCACACTGCCCACACCATAACACCTAATCTTGACAGTGCCAAAATCACACTGCCAAAATCACAATGCCTTTCAAAAGACCTAATTTTTCAAAAGGGACAACTACTAGGCATTTCAAAATTGATTTCACAACACCTAATCTTTAGTACGAAGAAACACAATAATTAAAACTAAAAATACATGGAAATCCGAATAAAAAGATGAAGGAATGAAAATTAAAAATTGAAGGAGAAGAGAAAATGATTAGCCACATCGATGAAGGAATTCGAGATAACCTGATGATTGCCGCTGCTGATCGGCGCAGGAATCGTGGGAGAAGGCCTGAGGATGCATGATCAGGGGCGACTAACGTAGAACTTGCGCCGATGAAGAGTACGTGCGCGAGAGTACAGACTACGTGCGGCTAGGCAGGAGAGCGGCGTAATTTTTTAATGAGAAAAAGGATAAATGGCATAATAGTAAAGGATTGACACAAAAAAATGCTAAATTTGTTAAAAAGAATAAGTAGTGCTAGATGCGTAATTTAAGGTGAGTTAGAGTGTTATGTAGGGTGATTTCATAATATGTCAAAATCACATAAAATCCTTCGAATAAGATACATTAAACTCTTTCGAAGTCTACGTAGACTTAAAATAATTCATTGATTTTATTAAGTCCATAAAATTTAAAAAATCTATCAGAATCTATTAAAATCTAAATTGAATACCCTTTGAATTGTGATTTGGGTCTCAAGAATCAATCAATGCTTGTTTCTCGTCGTATTCTTCTCTTCTTCCTCCCGTACTTCATTTTCAAATTTCAATGAACTATGGAACTGTTTGCGCATTACAGTATCAAATTAGATAGAATTTCGTAAAGTTATCGAGAGGCCTGAGCAAAAAAGTGTGCGAGGTTTCAGCAGTCGTCGGTAAGGGTTCTCCCCTCCCCTCACAATGTATCTGCTAAAGTCTAAAAAACAATCTCATTCTTATTTCATCCCCTTCTATATTTTTCATATACGCATCTTTTCACTATGGCTGCATTTTCCGACAAGGTTACGGAAGTCCGGAACAGGTTCTACGAACCAGAGATTTTATCATCTTCCTGTCAGTATTTTTTTTATCTTCAGTCAATATGTGCTACAAATTTCTTTGCTTATTTACAGTTGATGTTTTTTCAGTTGGAATGGAACACCTTATTTAAGCTAGCTTGCTGTTCATAATGAAATTGATTAGAGAACAGCTGTTTATGTTCATTCAAATTCATCGCTTCAGAAGGGCTAGGTAGTTGGCATTACCCTGAAATCATGTTAGTCACAAAACAAGAAGGAGAACGAGAAGGAGAAGGTATTCATTTTAGTTGGGGTCGCAAGACGGGTGTTCAACATTACGAATCATTCACCTACAATGGCACAGAATATTCCCTTTATGATTGTGTGTATGTGTGGTGCAATGATGAACCCGAGCCTCAAATTGGCAAGCTTGTCAAGATATTTGAAACACATACAGGCATCAGGAAGGCAAAGGTTGTGTGGTTTTTCAGACCAATTGATATACAAAACTGGTTAGGTGATGTCCGACCTCTCCCAAGTGAGTTGTTCTTGGCTTCTGGCAAGGGGAAAGGCATTTTCAATGTGATTCCGTTGGTAATGGCCGTTTCCTTTAGATACTCTTTTTTATACAGTATTTATTTATTCTGTGCATTGCAGCTTTGCCACATTTCAAGGGTTTAATATTCTCATATGTAAGTGTATATGTACATGCTGCATGCATCTGGGAAAGGGGACTATATAACTATTCCAAACACAATTCATTCCTTTTGACGTGAATAGAGTTGGGGCATGTCATAAGAAAGTTGTTAGTCATGCATATTGTCCTGTACTTTCAACTTCAAGGTGACCTTACGAACAATAGCCTGGTTCTATAGGTTGGTATATGTAGAAAACATAGGGAGATTTATTTCTATTTGGGTGGTAGAGGGGTAGCGGATGACAAAAAAAGGCTTGGGTGTTGTGCTGTTGGCTGCTGGAGCAGTTATTGAGTTAGTAAAATGTGTATATTTATGTTGGTATTAAGATATACACTCTCTGTCTCGAAAAACGCTTCCACATTTTCTTTTTTGTTTGTCCCAAATTAAAGTTTCTTTTTCCTTTTACAGAAATGATTATAGGGTTGACATCATTTCGCTCTTCTCTGCATAAATCTCAACCACTTAACTTCACCTTTTTAATAAACGTGAACAGTCAAATGTGAAACCCTAATTTAGGACGGAGGGAGTAGTTAAAGATTTTCCAGTAGTTGTGAATGCTGTGATTGTGTAAAATAGCAGCACTATGTATGTCTAGAGTTCAATGACCTGTCTATTACCTGGACTATTGATCACTTCTTAGGAAGCAATCTGTGGGAAATGCTCAGTTGTCTGCACATCAAAAGATAGAAGAAACACTCAGCCAACAGAAGAAGAGCTGAGAAAGGCCTCTTATGTATTCTTCCGTACGTTTGATGCACAAAGCCGCAGATTATCAAAGATATTCCCCGATTTAATCGTGAATGTTGAAGGTTTGTAACATTAAATAGATGGTATCTTGTTGTGTAACCTACACCTGTCTTAACAAGTGTATGATACAATCCATTCATTTCTATAACCAGCTAGTACTATAAATAGTTTTCTCCCTCTACTTCCGGGCAGGGGTACAGTTTGCATACGCACACCCTCCCCAGGCATTATTTTTGTGGGACTTTATTGGGTTTGTTGTTTTTGATGTTGTTGTTCTCCCTTTATTTCTTCATCCGTGCATACTTCGTAACATAGTGGCTAGCTATCTAGAGGACTATCACATATTCTCTCCTGTGTCTACGTGTCTTTATGTAATGGGTACTTGCTCAAGGTGTTGCATATTTCGGAAAAGCGAGTCTTCTAAATAGATGTTTATAAAGAGTGCAATAGGTCATCATCTATCTCTAATGTTTTAAGAGGTCAAGAAGATACCTGGAAAAAGTTCTCAGTTGAGAAATCAGCTAAACTATTTTGTCATTTCTTCACCTGCATGCTAATTACCTTTTTTGCTATTGGCTTTCCCTACATAGTTTTACGGGTTTACATTAGACTAATTAATATTTCTAGAATATAACTTTTTTCGTAAGTACTTCAATGTTTGCAGTGAAGAATTACTTTAATCAAAGGAAAGAGTCGCAGTCTCATCCTGCCCAAGGTACAGATCTGGTTACAAAAAGTGTTAAGGTTAATTCGGTTATGGGGTACGGAGCAGCAAAAGTTAATCATGGAATTCTAGCACGACTAGTATGAAAATTATTTATTTCAAATACGAAATAAACTTTTATTTATTGATTTATCAGCGCTGTACCACTTACCAAGTCACCAAACTTGACATTTTTCTGAATTTTGACAGAGCCTTTATCATTAGATAAGACTTCAGAAAAAAAGGCTTACTATCCTGTAAAGAATGATTCTGTTGTTGTGCCTGGTACATCCCAATTATTGAAGAGGAAACATGAAAACCCTGAACCCTCTCCACCGAGGAAGAAGCATGGAAGTGCTATAGATGTCCCTTATACCTCCTTACCAAAGAAGATAAAACATGGAAACCATTCAGGTCTCTCTCAACTTAAACTTGCTATCAAACTTATAGAAATGAGAAGAACATTAAATGCATTAATAAAACATGATGCTGTAGGAACATTGAATGCATTAATAAAAACATGATGCTGTAGGACTTTCTCTTCAATCAAATGTGAGCCGGAGAAAAGGTTCGGAGGAGAAGGCAGTGCAATTGGAATACAAAGTCAGCGAGTTTCATGCAAAAGCCGAGTATTTGGAAAAGAATAAGAGCTTGAGAACTGATTCTCAAATTATGGAAGTTGCACGAAAGCCAACCGAGGTAATTAATTGAAAGAGAAAATTTTAAGGTCACAAAGTGTGAACTATGCAATACTTGTGAAGGGATCATGCAGCATTGATGATTGGAAACATAACCAATGTATGATTGCATCAATCAAACACTTTTTTTCGTTCCTTAATGCTATTTGAAATAGATTTTTCAAGTGTTCAGTTGTCTTTTTTCATAATCACTTCTCTCTTAAGTGCTAGTGAATGAGTTTGTGCTATTCTTGTGCATTGATATTTTTTTGAGTAATTCATATGAAAGGTCCTTTGTGATAGGGTTTTCCTCATATGGTCCATTATGCAAAAGAGTTACATTCTTGGTCTTTTGTTATTGGGAACCATTCTATAGAATATAAAACCTTTGCTAGGTCTACCACCACAAGTTTGAGCTTTTGGTTGAATTGGTTCTTTGACATTGTACCAGAGTCTTAACTTATAGGTCATGAGTTTGAACCTTACTGCCACGTAGTTAAAAAATTAATTTTCGCGTGCGAGACTCGAGTAAAAACAAATCTTGCACATGAAGGGTCTGTTAGAATATAAAATCCCTCGTCCTTCATCCCTTCATCACTCTATTCATCGCTGTGTTCGAGGGAGAATTACCCCCATTGTGTTAAATATGTCTCAGTCTTCATCTTCGAGGCTCGAGTAAAAACAAATCTCGCTTGCACGTGAGGGGTCTGTTAGAATATAAAACTCTTTCGTCCTTCAATCCCCTTCACCACTCTATTCATCACTGTGTTCCAGGAAGAGTTACCCCCCACTGTGTTAAATATGTCGTTGTCTTCATCTTCGAGGACATCAACACGAATTCCAGAATTCTTTCTGGCCTCCGGTACTCCTTTGTCTTTAATTCCAGCTCTCCCCCTCGCAGAGGCCCGTGGCCGGGCCACCTCGCATGAGACGTATAGTGCTTCGTCGGCTACTTCTTCTTGTGGCTTGCCATTGTTTGGGCGATTCTGTGGCTGCCCGTGGAGGTTATGTCCCTCTTCATGTTCATCGCCGCCCATTCCCAGACCTTTTTCAAATTCCCGAATGTTGTTACTGCTGTTCTGAACATCCTGGATTACAGTGGCACCATTGTCCAAATGATGAAGCTAACAAAACAAAACAAAAAATTCTTTCTAGTTCTCAATAAATGGTTGATTTTCAAAAGTTCTTCCTTTTTGCCTCACGATCGGGTACCAACATTTCTAAATATCTAGAGAAGTACTTCGTACTATTATTCACAGCTCTGTCGGTTGGTCAGCCGCTCCCACCTTAGCATGGAAAGGCTCGGTCTGAGCGAGGTGGCAGCAAATGGACAGCAGCGGTGGCGAGCGTATGGGTCCAGGGCAGCTGCGGCACATCATACGCCTTCAGCACCAATTCCCCTGTCCTAAAATCATCATTGTGTTAAAGGAAGAGGGAGTTGAAACTACAAGATTACCCCCAAATTAACAGCCACTACACAGACAGTTAGATGGAGGACCAACTGTAAAATGATCCCCAACTGTAAAAGACCAAGAATGTAATTCTTTCGCGTAGTGGACCATATGAGGAAAAACCCCTATTTTAAAGGACCTTTGTGGAAATTATTCTACTCTATTTTATTCTTTTGAATTTAACTTATCTGTTAGGATTTTTGTGAATGGTCTAGTTAGATTTACCTTGGAGTTTTTTGTCTTCGTAGAAGAATTCTGCAATAAATTTTGCCCAAGCTGTATATTTGTGAGTTCTTTACCTGAATTCTTGCTATTTTATCTTCTATGGTTTCAGGAATCAAGCAGATGGTTCACCGAACAAGTGAGTCAACTTTCACTTATTACTAAATTACAATTTAATGCAATATGGTAAACACTAGCATTTGTAAAGAGAGATCTTCTACAGTCATTTGAAAGTCTGAATTACGGCTTGTTTGAAATTGCCCCAGGTTGACACAGCACAGAACTTAAAACTTGAACTTAACATTAGTTTGAGTTTAGTTTGTTCAACTTGAAAGCTAACTAAACTTTTGGTGTCCACACAACATCCTAATTTAACTTCTACTCCCTCCGTCCCATTAAATTCTTTACACTTTCTTTTTTTGAATGTCCCCAATAGAACTTCACACTAACCTTTTCCCAATTTTGGTAATGAATATGTGGCTACTGACAGTTCTCTCTCATCTAAAAAAATTCTAACCACACACTTTTTATTTTTCAAAAACTTTCTTAAATGCCTCAAGTCAAAGTGTCATGAATTTAATGGGATGAAGGGAATATATGCAAAAAATTGCTGCTGGGTACCCTCATTTTTGCGATAAGAACTCACAGGTCCCATTGTTTTCTAAAATATACTACGGGGTACCTTAAAATACCCAAAAACTTATTACCGGGTGACATTCCGTCCATATTCTGTCAAAACCAAATTTCTCCGATATCTTCTTCATTTTCTTCTTCTTCTTCCTCTTTCTTCATCTTCCATTCTTCAATCCTTCTTCCTTTTTTCTTTTTTTCTTCTTCTCCTTCTTCCCTTCTTTCGATCTAACCCAACCCTCTTCCACCCCTCTTTTTTTCATCTTTTATATGTATTATTATTATTATTATTATTATTATTAATTACACACTCCGTCCATAATTTTTTCAATTAATTTTTTTGGGTCAAAGTTCATAAATTTTGACCTTGATATGCGAATTTTTTTTATTGTATTATGATATAAATGTAATATCAATAAATTATTTTTGAAACATAGTTTTGAAACATTAATTTTTATAAAATATATTTATGTATGCATTTATATAAATATTAATGGTTAAAGTGATACATTTGAACCCATAAAAAGTCAAATCAGAAAAAGTTTGCGACAAATGGTGTAGTACTGTTATTGGGAACGCCGCCACCGTTGGTCTGTGGTTGCTAGCCGCCGTTGTTGCTTTGTCGTTCGTCGTTCGTCGTTGCCTTCCGCAATTGTCACCGGGCGGTTAACGGCCGCCGTTGAGAAAAAATAATAATAATTATTATTATAATAATTTCCTCAAAAAATATAATAACAATAAGAATAATAATACTCCCTTCACCATGGGTGTATATGTCCACTTTTGACTTTTTCGGTCAAAATTGGTATACTTTTTCGGTCCGGTCTGATTTGGTATGATATAATCTTATTGTAGATATATTTAAAACTATTTCTGATCTGGATTGATTTGATCTGGTTTGATCTGATCTTATTTGGTGTGATTTGATCTGATTTTAATAAGAATAAGTAATAACCTGAAAAAATAAGTTGAATGGAATGCAACCTTAAGGTTGGATTTTTATTGTCAAAATTGGTCTGAAACCATTCTTAGCAAGGTGACAAAATTGGCATGAAACAATGACTACAAATATGATGAAAGAAATCCACAATTCAAGTTTACTACTTCCTCCGTTTCTTAAAATAATTCCTCTTTCATTTTTTTTGTTTTCTTTAAAACACTTCCATTTTTGGAACAAATGACTCATATATCTAAATTAAGTCGTTGCAATATATTTCACTCAATTTGCATTGATATAATAAGTCATTTAAATGATTTATCTCTCTTTTTTCTTCGATGATAAGGATATAATTAGAAGGTCAAACTACGAAAATAAATCCCTCCCAAGTCAAAATAGGAATTGTTTTAGGAAACGGAGGGAGTATTTTTTTGGGGAAAAGAGTAAATGAGTGGACTGGGCTTTCGACTGTAATCTAGACTCTGAGTAGGGTAATTACTTTGTGTTAGTATCAGTCTCAACTTTATATTTGCTTATATTTTAACATTTCTATATTTGAACACTATTCTGTTTTTCCCAAGGATCTATCTACTATCCTTTTTAGCTTGTCCCAAAAGAATGTTCACATCCTTCATTTGAACCCCATGCACATTTTACCTCCTTAATTTACCGTTTCATCTATATTTTAGACCTTTTATTTGGCGGGCCCAGCTTTTCTTCTTTTCTTAAAAAAGAATGCCAAACCCAAGGGTATCTAACTATGTGGGATGAAATGAATAATAAATTGATATCAATTAAGTGATTTTGGTTATTTATCTATGTTTTAGTCATCTGTTTTTTAAATTTGCTCTAGCCATGGGAGGAAAGAATGCTTATGGCTCAAGAAAAAGGTACACTGGTCTTACTGGGAAACCTTGATCCCTCATTCACTTCAATAGATGTGGAGGTATGTTCTCCATTGGGTATCTACAATAGCAACAACTCTAAATTTTATTTATGTGGGTCAGACCATGTTTTTAGGCATGTTGTTTACAGTTTTATATTGTTTGTGCATACCTTCCACCCCGTATTTGTTGTTATCCTAAAAGAAATTTTTTCTTTATCTCGCAATCATATTATGAAGAGGGGAAAGATGTTAAGATTGTAAACAAAATTTATCCACATACTGTATCATGTGCGGACGTGCCACAATTTTTTTCTATCATTATTATTATTTTTAATAAAAAGAACTTAAGACCTGGTGTAATTGTACTGAAATGTTGTGGAGAAATGTATTACTGGTTGCATAATCAAATATTAAATGGAGCTACTGAATGGCGATCTACAGTAGTTATTCTAAATGGTAAATCTATGTTGTCTTAGAGAAAGTATAAGTTTTGATGGACTTTAATTTTCTCTTTGCAAAGTTTTGTTGTTAAGCTAAGCATATTCTAGTAGAAGTACTTGTGTGCTTCAATTTTAGTGGTATTAATGACTAGTGAAAAAGACTAACGAAAATGATTAGTGGGATACAATCCTCTTATAGTATCAATGAGTAGTGAAAGAGTTCAAAACTTTCCACCATTTAGCTTGGTAATTAAACGTTTGATGAATGAGTTTTGTCATTAAATGCTAATATTGGATATTTCCATTCATTAATTTCTTAAATTTCTCGTTCCCAGTCTATTCTCTCGTGTGCTTTCAACATGAAGGTTAGTGCAAAGATGATACAGCGTAGTAGGACATTCTCTAGCCTGCACTCTGGTACTTCTCAAGAATGCTTTCTGAGCCATCTATATCTTTAACTATGTGAGAAGACATCTTTTTGCTACTAAGTTTCTTTTTTTAATGTTCAAATATTGCACCTAGCAGGACAAGCTTTTGTCATATTCAAATCAAGGGAAGCTGCAAATACTGTTATTTCTAACTTAAGGACAAGGTGTCTAATGCTAGGTGATGGAAGGCATTTTGAATTGCTTTAGTTTTTAGACAACACATACTTTTCTATTTACATGAACGAAATGCTAGAAGAGAAAGCACAAGTGCTTTTCCATTATATCTTCCTAGGAGGATGATGACAAAAGATACTTTGTGATGCTTAAGAATTGATTGTATGAGAAGAAAGATTCTCTTCGGACTATATAAAACAAAATGAGTAAGGGTCTGTTCTCTTCTGTTAGAATTCCAAAGTCGGATATCAGAAGAAACTGGGAGTTGGAAAAGACTGGAAGGAGTTGGAGAATGTTGGAAAATGAAAAGTGCTAAAAGAAATCACTGAATTAAATGATCACCCAAATATTCATCTTTGTCTGTGTTTGAGGTGGTATATTATAAACTTGGATATACTCCCTCCGTCCAATTTTAAACTTTAAAGTTCCCTCTTTGACCGGCACAGAGTTTAATAAAAGTTGAAATTGGCGTTGACTTTCCAATTATATCCCTCCCCACTTTCACTACCCAGCATGCCCTCACCCACTCCCACCAAGGCATTTTCAATCTGGTGCATTCCTTTTACAAAAAGAGGTCCGTACATCCACAGATCTTCATCTTCCGTTTCTTCAATCGTCGCCACCTCTGTACATCTTCAGATCTTCATTGCCGTTGCTCCCCATCAAGCAGCTCCATCAGATCTCTATCGCTATCAGATCTTCGCTGCTGAGATTTTGGGGAAGGTAAGATCTTCACCTGTCAAATCCCCATTCGATATTCGGATCTAAAGAAAGCGAGTTAAAAATAAGAGAAGATGAAGAATTTGAGAAAATTTTATGGTTGTACGTCAATGATGGGTGGGAAGAAGGGGAAGAAGAAATGGAGAAAGAGAGAATTGAAGAAGGAGAAGAAGACACGAAGAACAAGAAAATGAAGGAGAAAAAGAACTGAAGAAGAAGGAGAAGGGGTTGGGTAGAGAAAAAGTTGAAGAAGAAATGAGAATAAAAAAAGATAAGTGGTGATGTGTGGTGGTAAATCGACAATGGGAGAGGGAAAGGTTTTATAGATTCAAAGGGTATCTTACACATTTTACACTTAAAAATTTTCCAATAAGGAAATGGGAAGATAATTTGTGGACGGACTGAAAAGGAAAGTAGAAAGATTAAAGTTGGACGGTGGGAGTATGATGTTATTGTAAATTCATCATATGTAAATAGATTTTCAAGTCGTTGGAAGAAACTGGAAAGAGTTAGGAAAAACATTAAGGATATGGAAAAAATTGGAAGGAGCTGGTAAAAGTTGGAATTTAATTTTTCCAACCCAAAAGAATTGGCCTTTAAGGACATTTATCTCCCCATTACATAGAATGATTGAACCAAGGTGCCAAAACTTGTCTCTCTTAGGCACTGGGTGGGAATGTGTTCTAACGACCACTGAAGCATCCATGTATACAGTCTAAGTTGTACTCAATTTTAAGCCTTCGTATTCAAGGGAAAGATTCCATAGCTCTAACTTGTCATTAATACCCTCACGTGTCTCATCGATCAGTACAATGTCGTCAGTAAAATAGGACATCCATGACCAAAGCATACAGGAAAGGACTAAGAGCAGACCCTGGTGTAACCCCACCTCAACAAATAGTCACGCCGATGGTCTTTACCCTATTTCTTGCCTCGATATACATATGTCTTATTGCATGAATGTACATAATTGAAACCCCTCTAAACTCGAGACACCTCCACAAGTTCTCCCTCAACACCATGTCACCATGTTGTACGTCTTCTCGAGGTCAATAAACACCATATGTAGATACTTTTTGGCCATGTACTCTTCCATCAACCTTCGCAAGAGGTGAGAATAGCCTCCGTAGTTGACTGACCAAGCATGCCACCAAACTGAGAAAAGCACACCTCCTTTTGCAACCTAGCTTCAGTGATACACTCCCAAACCTTTATGGTGTGGCTAAAAAGCTTGATTCCTTTATAATTGGATATCACTCTTACCCTTATAAATTGGGACAACCATGCTTCCCGAAACCAAACCACAGCTGCCCACACACTTCTAAAAGTCCACCAAAATCTTAGCCAGCCCCAAGACTCTCCCCCTTCCCATCCTATGGATGGCCCACACAACCTTCTTCAGTAATGCACTGATAATAACCAAAGTCATTTGCCCCGAGTCGTCTAACTCGTGCCTAAAATTCTGGGCCTTTCCCTCACGTGCCTTAGCCAGCCAGAAAAGCCTCTTATCACCGCCTTACTCTTCAATGTCCTTATACAGGCGTTCAAAATATGCATTTTTTGCCCTCGTGGCCTCCAAAACCTTTGCTACCTTCCAGGCAACCTTATACTCCACCCTAAGAGACGCTTTAACTTTTTCATCACTACAATCCACATACCTTCTATAGGCTACCTTCTTAGCTCCCACCTTGCTTTAAACCACACCACTCCACCATCAATCACCTATGTGTTGATGTCCAGTACCGTGGCTCACACCTATCACATCTCGGGCGGCTTCCTTGATGCACTGAGCAATCTGAGACCACATGTTAGTGGCTTCCCTGGAAGACTCACACACACCTTTCTCTTAGACCCGCACAACTCTGAACTTTTTTTCCAACCCAAACTCAATGTTTACCTTTTTTATGACTTGTGTGGCCGAAAAGTAGATATACTTTGTTGGTATGGATAGTAAGCGCCAAATCTCTTACAACTCTCCTAATTAGGAGTATGATTCTACATATAATCCCTTTAGAATACCTATAGTAATTCTTCTTACTATTAACCTCATTCCTATTGTCATTCCCCTAAACTAACAGGTTATTCTTATTGTATCCCTAAGTTGTGGAAATCATTTTTCTGGGATATTTTGGGAAATGTTTTTATAGATAATAAGTTATATACCAATGAATTGTTTCACTCTTTACAAAAGTTCAAACACAAGAAAAAAAGTGTCGAATACAAACCACATTCATAGAGCATAATGTTAAGACTAAAAACATAATTGAAATTTGTTTCATCGGTTCTCTTAACCATTTAACCAAATAGAATGGTTTGTCCACTTTCGACTTGAGTTCACATCATCAAACCATAAAACAACATAGTAGTATTTGAATTCCAAGTCAACCCAAGAATGACGCTACCAAAATTTAATTTGACCCAACTTTTACCCCGCTCAAAATTAACCCAAAATACATCATTGAAATTTGACCTAACCCAGCTCTTACCTGACCCAAAGTTGATGCATAGCCTTAACCAAAACTTACCCAAACCAACATCAACGTGACACGTACCCATACCGACCTGACTAATCTTCACCCAAACTTGACCCAACTCAAACTTAACACAAACATGATTCAACTCAAACTTAACCCGAACCAAACATGAAACCAAACCGAAATACATTGACCTCAAGTTGATTGAAACCGAAGTTAACCCAATTCGAATCCAAACCTCGTCTAAAATATGTTGACCCAAATGCCTCCTATCCCGACGTACTCCCAACCGTGTCCCAAATGAGCCATTTTCTGTAGGTACAAATATTTTATCCTTCCATTGTAATTTGGTGAGTAATTAATTTATGGTTAGCGAGCATTTGAGTTTTCTCTAGTGTGCAATGATTGTGCTCATAGTGCACCCTCATTTGTGTTTATGAGCACCAACTACCATCTAGTGAGCAATTCATTTCTCACTATTGAGCATATAAGTCTTCATTGGGGATTGGTGGTACGATATTTATATACCTATGGTTGAACACTAGAACAACTCTTGAATCCTTGTTTCTTTTATTCTTATCCCCTTATATACTCTTGTTTACTGTTAGAGTCCTACATTGGAACTTTGAAGAGAAAATAATACGTCTTATGTTTATAAGCTCTTGAGTTTAACTAGGCAATCAATTAGACTCAATCTGTTAATGTGGCTCATCCCAAGTGTTTTATTACTCAGTCTAACCCCTACCCCGTTCTAAATTTTAGGATGGTATCAAAGTAGGTTTTGGCTGACCTCATTTGTCAAGGTGTCTGTGTAGAAGTTTATTCCTAACCTAGTTATATGGATGAAATTTATACCCAATGATTTGTGGCTCATTTAAACCTAATTTTTGTCCTAGAAGTCCATACCAAGTAGCTCGTTGCCCTTTAGGTGTTGTCATTGCGCATTTTCAAATATTTTTTCAGAGGGATATACGTCTAATTGCAAGTCATCAAACAATTAAATTCAAAATGGTCCGATTATCCACTTAAGGGAGAGTTAGACTCCCACTTCGAAACTTTAAAGAGAAAATAATGGGTTTATAAGCTCTTGAGTTAAACTAGGTAATCGGTTAGATTCAATCTTTTGATATGGTTTTGCCTAAGTATTTTATCATCTTATCACCTTGTCTAGTGACCCATACCATATCTTAAATTCTATCATTGACATTCGTTTGTTTCTAATTTCCTTAATAATATAACAGTTGAATTCAATTTAATTTCTAAAGAAAGACAAAGGATAGGAAGACCTAAACATAATTTTTTGTTTGATTTGCATAGGCCATTAATTGCTCGAACAAAAGCTCTTAAAGATCCAAGAAATCAAAGTCTCTTTTTTGGCCACCTTACAATTGAGCGAATGAAGCCTCAAAAGCAACGAATAGAGATGGTATGCATTTTTTTTGGAGTCTATGTTATATATGCGTATCATGCTAAGTTGTTTACGATTTTATTGTCTTGTATATTCAAAGTGCAATAACATTTTCCTGTAGTTATGTCACTCTGTTAGGCATTAGACATATAGGGCTTGTTCTCTTCACCTGATCTGATTAGAGTAAGTTCTGATATGATATGGTTTAATCTAGTTTGATCTAGTCTGATCTGATTGCAGTTATATTCAAAGCATTTTTTGATCTGATAGTAGTTATATTAAAACCTTTTTTTGATCTGATCTGGTCTGATTCCAATAAGAATAAGTAATAAGTAATAAGAATAAGTTAAAGAGAACAAACTCTTATTTCCTAATGCTAGCGTGTGAGTATATGAATTTGATCATGTGTTTTTTTTACCATTACTCTTATACCGATAGTAGGTATGGTAAATGGTTGGGAATGGGAACTTGGATATGATTGAAAGAAAGAGGGAATGTGTTTCAATTCACCCCTATCCTATTGGAGGGGTATGGCTCAATGCCCAAAACTCCAAAAGTGGGAAACCGAACTTAGTGGAGAGCTTACCGAGAAAAATCATTCCATTCAAGTTCTTTATTCCCCAAACCTTCCTACCAAGCACCCTCGTAATGTTGACAAAGAAATGAGCCCAAATTCAAAACCTTCTACCTAGGCAATATTTTTTCACTAGGCAATATGGATAATTCAAAAGCTTCTACCTTTCCCCAAGTTTTATTGAATTAACAATTAACAATTAACAGAGAGAACATGCCATTATACATATGGTTCTCTATCCATGGTGAGCGAGTAGGAACGATGAGCATTTTGCAATACTCTTCGTCCCATAGTTTTGCTCACCAATGCAATGTTTTAAGTGTTATTGTATAGATTATGCATGTGTGTGTACATAAATTGAACTATTATGTAAAATTCATCACTAGGTTTATTTTAAAATGTAGTTTTGAAATATCATACAAGTACCGAGCATTATATATATGTGTGTGTGAGTGTGTGTGTGTGTGTTTATATTTGTATGATATTTCAATACTACATTTACATAATAGTAGTTTTTTAATAGCCATAGTTCCGGTTTGGTCATGTCGGGGTCAAGTGTATGTTGGTTTTAGAATATCAATTTAAATTTTATATGTTGCTGTTAGATGATTTTTCTCATTATTTGTGGGTGTTTCCTTTAAGACATAAAAGCGATGCTTTTACTCACCTAAATTCCTTTGTGGCATATGTGAAAAATCATTTTAATACAACAATAAAATCTGTTCAATGTGACAATGGAACTGATATGATCTTGTAATGTGACACAGACTATAATTATACTTATTACCTAACTTCATTATTCTCTTATATTGTATTTAAAGCTAGAAAATTGTTCGGGTTTAAGTTCTATACTTTCAGGTTCTGGCTGCTGTAGGTTAAGACTTCAAATTGAGAAATACTTCTTTTTAACCAAGCGTGTTTGGGTTGATCCAATAGGTTAAGAGTTTTATTTGGTTTATTTTTCAAATAATAAAATGTGTGATAGCTCTTTAATTTTACATTAAAAGTTTGATGAAATCTTAAAACTTAATAATTAAAGCTTTTATAATATTTTCTTTTGTAATTTTAGGTTTTTAGAATAAGACTAAAATAATATACATAAAGTACTACTTTTGAAGATACTCCCTTTGTTCTTGATTATTTGTCTAGATTGATTTTTTAAGTCAAACTAGATGGCAAGTCTCAAGAATCTTGTTGAAGACCTACTCTGTAGTATTTTCGAGTTAGGTTACGGGTAAAAGAAAGGCCGGGTCGATTTTTTCTAGGTCTAGTACCTTGCATAAAACTCATTTTTTAAAGAATATATATAGTGTTAACTAATTTTACACAAATAATTTACATAACTTATCATGTCATTGATTCCAACTTAGTTGAAATTAAGGGAATGATGATGAAGCGCTACAATTCTGATCGTTGTCCTTGTTTGTCTAGCCCTAGTCATGAACTCCAAAAGTCTGCAAGGTTGGGGAAACCAAAACTGGGAGATTAGGAAAAAATTGTGAACTGTAATATACACCTGGTTTTGCGACACTGGATTGGTATCATTTTTCATATTTTTTTGGCTTCAAAACAAGTTTCATCTATACTAAATGGGTTGGGAATATATCAGACCAAATTAGTAGTGTAGTACCTACAGTAGCACACAGTTGTTGACGTATCACAACTAAAATAATTTTTTCCCGTTTTCCAAACAATGTGTTACTGTCTCAACATTGAAAAGAGGTCGGCAGTATCAACATCCCACTATTCCCAAGACAATACCATTGAGTATGAGATGGCGTTGGAATGGTTTGTACTACAAGAGCGATCAAATCGATGGTGGGAAGCGTTATTTGAGGTAATCATTGAACTAATGTCTTTGCTCCCTTTTCCCGACTTGTTTCGCATTGAAACTTTTGGTGCTTCTTCTGTAGTGATTGAAAATGTTCTATGTTGTTTCCCTTTTTCTTGTTCAAAGAGTCAAGCAAAAGATCTGGCAGAGCTTAAGAGCAAAGCAAAGATCCAGCAGTAATCTGAGACGATTCAGTCTTTCAGGTGTGGATTCAATTCATGTTTCAAATGTAAACACCATCTTATTTCTGTTTCTTTTTATATACCTACTATTCCATATTTTTAAAGTTAATAATAAAATCTTAATCATCATCATTGTTGCATGCAACTTCGTACCTCTATCCTGCACCTGAAGGTTGAATTCTGCCCCATTTCCCCTCTCAAGGAAGCAAGTTTTTGTTATGGTCTGCAAAGTTACAGAATGGCATGTATATTGGGCGTTCTCTTTCTAACCAGAGAGGAACAAGATGCAGGTTTTTGTTTCACATTTTGTTCCAGCAAGCTAATATTAGATATGATGCCAAACCTTTTTTTTAATTTATTTAAAAAATCCGATATATATTACCCATATTACTGTCGTTTTGGAATTACAAGCAGTGCAGTGGAGAGAAACTGCAATCTGAGCCCTAACTTCTAATTTTTTGAACCAAATGGTTCACTGTGTTATACTTTGAAGTGCTTTGTACTTCCAAATTTTTTTTTGCTCGTATTATATGTTTCGAATGTGGATTCCGCGCTTGATGAGGGCTGATAATAAATGGTTGGGTTAGTGAATTTGTGAACCGAACATAACCACAAATATGTTAAAGATATTAATTGAATTTAATATAATTGTATATTTAGTAATATCCTTGTTCAAGGAGAATATTACTACCTCCCTCCCATTTTATAACGTCTGTTTCGGTTTACGGTGTTTGACTGAAATTATTTTCAAACCATTTTATATGACAAATGGTATAGAATTAAAAAAATAAAAATCTCATATTAAAAAACTACATCAAAAGATCTACAAAATTAGTAGTGACAATAGTATTTTATTTTATCAAATTGCCAACGAAAATAGAGAAAGTGAATAAAGTTTGACCCTGTGAATAGTGAATATGCATTATAATTTGGGACGGAGGGAGTATATTCTTTTAATATCTCACTTTTTTTTGTATAGATTTTTACATTGTATATAGACACTTATCTTGCATAAATAGTTACCTTGTTTGTCTTGTACTTCATATTATATACTCTTTCTATTCGTAATAATGTTGCATAATGCCTTTTTTATACGTTCTAAAATAAGGTTTCTCTTTCAATATTAGGAAAATTTTTTCTTACTACTCGTTTTAAGTTATACGGAGTAATAAACTCTTTTTTATATTGATTTGTATATCTAAAAATTATTTCAGAATTTAAAATAAAATAATACTTCCTCCGTCCCAAAAACATCTTCCTCTATATTTTTTTCTTGTCCCACAAAAATGTTTCACTTTTCTATTAAAAAACTATTTTTACCCCTACTAATTGTTAACCTAACATATGATATCATACTTGTTTTACTAATAATCTATCCATTGATCCTATTTTTAACCATCACATCAAGGATATTATTTTTAGAAAGTCAACACAAAAAATTCTTTCCTTAAATCTTTTAAAAGTCAAAATGAGAACATCTTTATGGAACGAAAGAAGTATAACAGATTTAATACATATTTTTTTATAATAGTGTAGAAAACTATTTTTTTACAAAACTTAAGTCGAGTCGGGAATACTTTATTATTTTAGAGAGTTTATTAATTTATAGAGTATTACTCCATAATTTATACTCCCACCGTTCCAAAAAGATCTTCCTGTTTCATTTTTTGCGAATTTCATTAAACACTTCTATCCCGCTTCAAATGCAAAAAAAAAAAAACTTTGAAAACAACTTCTATCCACAATAAATGAGAAATGTGGTAAATTTTAGGCATTTTAAATGTGTGTAGAAGTGTTTTATAGGATGTGCAAAAAAGGAAACATGAAGATCTTTTTAGGAGGGAGAGAGTATAGAGAGGTTTTACAATGATAACCTAGTAGAGTGTTTGATACAGAGTGTACCGATTTGATTACAGAGTAGTTGATGATGCATATCATACATTTATTGATCTCGTATACTAGTGCCCTTTTATTTCTTATTTAATTTAATGGAGTGGGAGAGAACATGTCCTGAGTTGAGCATTCTCGATTGGAAGTTTGTCTCGGGGGAATCTGCACTCCAGATGGGGCTTTTCAACCAGTTGATCACACGGCTTAGGAGTCACTGCGCCCTGGAAACCTCGGACGTCCGTACAGTTCCATGCCTGCTTGGGTGCCTTTGCGGCGGATTCGCCCACACGCATGGCAATGGTGGCATTGGAGATGCAGAGTCCGGTGAAGGGGCGACCCTTCAGCCCGACGAGCTTTCCGGCGACCGTCACGTTTTCAGCGGTGACATCTCTGAAGTTGATGCCCTGTACGGTCGGCATGGCATTTGGGTTGAAACGGTCGTCGGGGTGATCGCTGTACTCTGCGGTCACCCAGAAGACGTACTTCATGGTGTGGAGCCGGGCGTTGGCGAGGTAGATGTCCCTGACGTAGCTTCCGCGTCCGGGGGACGTTTTGATCCTCACGGCCGACTCGGTGTTGACGGCGGTGATGTCGTCGGCCCGGACGTCTTCGATCCCGCCCGACATCTCGCTCCCGAGAGCAATGGTGGCGCTGAAGGGGGAGACGCAAGTGAGCCTCTTGATGGAGACTTGCTTGGTTGGCATGTTGAATGCGATCCCGTATTCGTCCCAGCCGCTCTTGATTGCAATGCAGTCGTCCCCGGACACAATGTAGTTGTCCCATATTCTTACATTTGCGCATGAGTCTGCATGCATGCATGCATGCCCAAGTTATTAATTACTAGTACACATGCAGAGTGATCAATTAATTAAGTATATATATATATGTGTGTGTGAGAGAGTGATTGTTACTGAATTCATCAAATTAGGATGGAATATAATTGTCGGACCTGGGTCGATCCCATCAGTGTTTTCGGAATCAATGGGTGCAAGAATTGTCAAGTGCTCAATTATAATGTCACTGTAACACCACAAAAATATGAGTACAATATATTACTCCTTCCCTTCCTTGAAATAGTTCTTTCATTTTTTTAGTGTTTTCCTTAAAATACTTCCATGCATTTTTGTAAAACACGGCTCCCTGTATCTAAATTATAGTCATTGCAACATACACCATTTGATAATATATGTATCTATGATAGGATGCATTTATAATAGGAAGCTAGAAATGAAATTGACCTGCTGTATACAGGATGGACGACCCATGAGGGGGAGTTGAGGAGGGTGAGGTTAGAGATTTGGATTTGGTTGGAATACATAATCTCGATGAGGTAAGGCCTTGTGTTCTTCAGCTCCTTCTTTCGATACTTGTCCCACCAAACCTCTCCCTGTCCGTTTATTGTCCCATTCCCACCTTTCACATACATACATACATACATACATACATTCCCACACACCATACATCATCCACACGTACGTCAATATATATATATATATATATATATATATATATATATATATATATATATATATATTTAATGCACAATGTTTAGCATCATTACCAGTGATGACAACGTCAGTGAGATTTTTTCCAAAGATGAGACTCGTAAACCTATCTCCCGGAGCATCTCTACCCCTTCCGTAAGATGGCAGTGGTGAAATGAGTGGATATTGTGATTCATCCTATGTAACAAATTAAAAAAGTGAAAAAAAGAGAGTTAATACTGTTAAATATATATAATATATTTAATATTATTGTATTATTATTGTTACCATATTTGTATAGGTTTCCTAGATTGTCTCTCCTACCTTAATTAGGATTGAGACTTTTGTATATATACATGTACTCTCCTCACAATTTAATCAATGAAAATAATTCTTCTTCATGGTATCGGAGCCTAACCAAAAACCCTAATTCTCCCTCTCTAACTTTCGGCTTCCCTCCTCCCTCGCCGAGACACCAGCGCCGCCGCCACTCTCCCTCTCTCGCACGGCCGGCCACCCCTCCTCCCTCTACCATGGCCGAAAGCGAGATCACCTCTCAATCTACCACCCAAAAATCTCCACATTTGGCTTTCTCTATTTCTAATGTCAAATTACATGTCCCTATTCAACTCAGTTTTTCTCAACCAAATTACAAGAAGTGGAGCCGCTTATTCCTCCTCCTTGCCCGGCGGTTCACCCTCCACGGCTACCTTGACGGGTCTATTGTCCCTACCTCAAAAGATGATGATGAATGGTACCAACTTGACGCCATTCTCCAAGGCTGGATTC